CACCTGCTGATTAATCAAGTCAGAAGTCGTACGATAGTTACCTCCCCTTTTTCTTATTGGTTGATTAAGCCCTCAGACCACTTTTCGTATATTCTCTTTTCGGTCTGAGGAACGGACAGTTCCCTATATAAAGCCGTACTTATTCATGTATAGCTCCTTAGCTTTCTATTACTGAATTTACCCGCTTTACTCCTCAACAAGAACCTTTGAAGCTTACCTCTCAAAGTCCTCTACTCGCTATATTTACTAGCGTCTGTCGACCTCAAGCTCATTGGATTCTTACTCCCTGCAAGTGCAGAAGGAGATAGGTTTAGTTTTTGTTATAGTTTATCGTTGCCTCACAGAAGTAACCCGGGAAACGATAAAAGAAATCAACCGGTTACCAAAAGCAGAAGTTATACAAGCAATCATAGATATTGCCTCCCCTAAAAAGTACATTAGGGGCACCCAAGGCAATCAGATGAATGTGATGTGTAAGCTCACTACACTGGATACTCTAAAAACAAAAACGGTCGAAGCACTATTAGATAGTGGATGCACGGGGAGTTGCATCGACTCTCAATTTGTGAAAGACCAAAATTACGGAACAAGAAAGATACCGAGACCAATCCCAGTCTATAATGCAGATGGTACTCTTAATAAAAATGGAGCCATCAACGAATTTGTAATACTACTCATGGAAATTGATGATCACATCGAGAAAATTCATCTTGCAGTAACCAATCTTGGTAATGGAAAGATGTTTTTAGGACATGAATGGTTAAACAAACATAACCCAAAAATAGACTGGAAGGAATCAAAGTTAACTTTCAAAAGATGTTCCGAAGAATGAAAACCCAAAATCCGAATCTCTGATCCAGAGGAGGATCCAGAAACATTTTTTGAAGAACTTGAGGCAGAGGAAAGACTGATACAGATAAACCTCCATAATTTCGAAGACACCATAATCGATAAACAATACTATCACATAAGGGCCCAAGACACAATGGCACAGAGACTAGCCGAAGCTGCAGGCAAAGATTGAAAGGAAGGCGGATTTGAAAAGATAGTACCGAAACACCTTCATCAATACAAAGACGTATTTGATAAAAAGGAATTCAACACACTACCTGAAAGGAGACAATGGGTGGGACCATGCAATTAAACTAGTACCGGGAGATCACTCCCTAGATTGCAAAATTTACCCATTAGCGAAGGGGGAATAAGAAGAGTTAGATGCATTTTTAAAGGAAAATCTAGAATCGGGATGGATAAGACCATCCAAATCCCCATTTGCATCACCCTTTTTCTTCATAAAAAAGAAAGATGGAAAACTGAGACCCGTTCAAGATTATCGGAAGTTAAATAATATCACTAATATCCGAATGAGAGAGGGAGATGAACCGAAAGCGGCGTTCAGAACAAATCAGGGGTTATTTGAACCATTAGTCATATTCTTCGGACTGACAAATTCCCCTGCCACGTTCCAGACAATGATGAACACGCTCTTCAAAGAATTGATAGACAAAGGACTCGTAATCATATATCTAGATGATATTATGATATTCACAAAGGATATAGAAATGCACAGAGCAACAATGCAACGTGTATTAGAGATCCTGAGAAAGAATCATCTCTACCTTAAACCGGAGAAATGCGACTTCGAACAGACAGAAGTAGAATATCTGGGACTGATCATCTCAGAGAATGAAATTTGCATGGATCCAGTGAAAGTAGAAGGAATTAGCAAATGGCCAGAATGTAAAAATAAAAAAGACATCCAAGCATTCCTAGCCTTTGTAAATTTCTACAGAAGGTTTATAGAAGGCTTCGGGGAAGTAGCGAAACCATTGACCAAGTTAACGGGAAAAGAGGAATTCATTTGGGGAAATGAACAACACAAAGCATTTAACACCTTAAAAGAATGTGTAGCTTCAGCCCCTGTGTTAGCCCTCCCAGTACCACATGGCCAATACAAAGTAGAAGCAGATAGTAGTGATTTTGCAATGGGAGCTGTCTTATCACAAAGACAAAAAGATGATTGGAAGCCAATTGCATACCTCTCTAAAGTGTTGAACCCCACAGAACGCAATTACGAGATCTATGACAAAGAACTTCTTGCCATTATGACAGCGCTTAATGAATGGAGACACTACTTAATAGATGCGGAAGAAGAATTTGAGATATGGACGGATCATCAAAATCTGTTATATTTCAAAGAACCGAGGAAGTTGAATAGACGACAGGCACGATGGATGACAGAGTTGAGTCAATATCATTTCACGATACACCATATGCCTGGAAGAAAACATATAAAAGCAGACCTGCTCTCAAGACGATCAGATCACAATAAAGGAGAGAAAGATAACGAGGATGTTGTACTACTAGATGAGAAACTCTTTGTACGAATGACCCTCTCATCAAAACAGAGACAAGCAATAGCAGAAAGTCAGGAAGAAGAATTAGTAATTTCAAAATGGATTTTAAAGAGGAAAGGAAACGTAGATGACTTGATAAAAAAGATGAAAGGAAAGATAGAGAGGAGAGAAAACGGATGGTTTGAAGATGAAGGTTACATAGTATTCAAAGGCAGGATCTACGTACCAAAAGATGCCAAGTTGAGGGAAGAAATCATCAGATGAAACCATGACTCTACCATTGCAGGTCACCCAGGTAGATATAAAACGAAGGAATTGATCATTCGAGAATACTGGTGGCCTTATATGGACAGAGATATCACAAGATACATAGATGGATGTGAAGTCTGCCAAAGAACCAAAACAGACCACAAAAAGAAAGCAGCACCACTCCATCCAAACAAAATCCTGAGTAAACCTTGGCAAATCATTTTGGTGGATCTAATCGGACCACTACCAGAATCAATCGGATACAACATGATAATGGTAGTCGTAGATCGGTTCACAAAAATGATTAAAGCAATCCCCACACAGATGGAAATCACTTCAGAAGGAGTAGCGCAATTATTTAGAGATCACGTATTTAGAAACTACGGTATACCCAAAAAAATCATTTCAGATCGGGGACCGCAATTCGTTTCTAAATTTATGAAAGATCTACACACACTACTCCAGATAAAAGCAAATCCATCAACAGCATGGCATCCACAAACGGATGGGCAAACAGAGAGGATCAATCAAGAAATAGAACAATATCTGAGAATCTTTGTAAACCATAAACAAGACGATTGGGCAGAATGGCTTACTCTAGCAGAGTTCTCATATAACAACAAACAACACTCTGCAACAGGATACAGCCCATTCTATTTAAATCAAGGATGCCATCCAAGAACACAGGAAGAAGTGAAAGTGGAGGTAAAAAGCGAGAGCGCAGAAGATTTTGTAAAGAGAATGACAGACACGAGGAAGAAAGCGGAAGAGTCATTGCGAAAAGCAGCAGAATAGATGAAGAAGCAATACGACAAAAAGAAAAGAGATGCGGTGGAATATAAGATAGGAGACAAAGTATATGTGGAAGCAACAAACATTTCAACAGACCGACCAACTAAGAAACTGGATGATAAAAGGCACAGACCATTCGAAATCATCGAAAAAATAGGTGAATCAGCCTATAAACTACTACTACCACCGACATGGCAACCTATCTATCCAGTTTTTAATGAAACGAAGCTCACATTATACAAAGAACCATAATTTCCCTCCCAAGAACAACCCAAACCAATACCACCGGTGATAGTGGATGGACAAGAAGAGTACGAAGTCGAAGAAGTTCTAGACTCACGTCTAAAAAGAGGAAAATTAGAATACCTAGTACATTGGAAAAACTACCCAAAAGAGGGACGCACATGGGAACCCGAACAAAACCTATCCAATTCACCAAAAAAGGTGAAAACATTCCATGATAAAAATCCCAATGCACCTCGATGAATACTATTCCAATTACATTTCCAACCTTTTGAAAACTTTACAACGACAAGAGTACGAAAACAATTGTTCAACTGGGAAAACGGAAAACTTGACCCTCACTTTCGAGACGAAAGTCTTAAAGAGGGGGTAATGTCACGATCCGAGCCAAAACCTTTAGTTTCTTTTGATTCATTATTTAATTATATCTGATCACGTGACAATCATGTGACAAAGCCTAGACTATGACGCACAACATCAGTCAGCGCCTCATGGCTGACCTTCAGAAATGTATATATACCAACACCCATGTACATACATTTCCTCAGTTGTTGATTACTTCTTTATATTGATACTTGACACTACTTGTCTGATTTTGAGACTTACACCTCCGTTAGTTCGGCAAAAGGTGTAGGGATCTAACACAGGTTGCCTGAGGGTCTGACAGAGGTTTGACAGAGCATTTCACGAGCACATAAAGAGTATGCATTATATGGAAATAATGCTGTAAATATTGCCCTAGAAGGCCTCTGGAACAAAGAAAAATTTTACAAACTCCAGAGGGCACCACAGGAGGGTTTGCAGAGGGTTGTTCAAGTACCGCTGTATTTAGAAATACTATATATATACTTGGCTGGGAAACCTCGGCAGCGGGGGGATACTTAAGGTCCCAGACCCGTCGACAAAGAATAGGTCTTTGAGACCCTTATGTAACGGATTAAGTCCCTGCCTGAGGTGTACAACGTTACGTTTCCCATTCTAAAAACGCAAAATATATTGTTTTTTCCGCACAGAATTGTGTAGTTCTACATTAGAAGCAATCTCGTCGTGTAAACGATGTTGTGCCAGTGACCGTCACGTCATGTGATGCAGTCGTATATGCTTGCGGCCTACCTTAGGAAATTTTGAAATGTCAGATTCGTGGTGCGATTGATACCTCGCTGGTATGGATCCCAGGTCATTAAAATCATTTTTGTTAGGGCATACAATGTCCACAAGGAGTTGCAATTTTCTAATCCAATCGTGGTTGAATTGGTAACGAAAGTCAGTGAGAATGAGGCTGAACTCTAATTGTCTGACTTACTAGTTAGTGCGGCTTTCTCCGGGTGGCTTAGCGATGTGACAGAGGATAGTGCGCACATTGAAGTGAATATTATAGCAAGCAAGTCGTCGCTGTCCCTGTCGCCGTGAAGATGGTCAAAGGTATGGTATCATACTTGTATGTAGATGTACTGATGTTTATCGATCTTTTCAGTATACAAACCAGGAAAAGTAAATCATTGGAGCATCTAATACGACTGTACACCGTTGCTAAAGTTATACATAGGTCGCGCTCATCCTTCAAGGTCGCCAAGCTGGCAAGAAAGTCGTAGTAATCAAGCAAATGGATGAGGGAACCAAGGAGCGACCATACCCCCATGCCATCGTTGCCGGTATTGAGCGGTACCCACGGAAAGTGACGCGGAGCATGGGTGCCAAAAAGGTGGCAAAGCGAAGCAAGGTCAAGCCTTTTATCAAGGTTAGTCTTGTATATCGCGCCATGCCTTTCTTTTTTGCTAACATATGGTATTCAATGTGTGATCTAGGTTGTCAACTACTCTCACCTTTTCCCCACACGATATGCTTTGGAGTTGGAGGGTTTGAAAGGTTCGGTTGCGGCGGAAACTTTCAAGGAGCCTTCGCAGCGAGAGGATTCCAGGAAGACCATCAAGAAGTTGCTCGAGGAGCGTTACACGAGCGGAAAGAACAAGTGGTTCTTCCAACCCCTACGTGTGCGTCATGTTTCATCTTTTATCGCAATTTGGTGCTCAGCCCGATTACTCTTCTACAGTTCTGAGTGTTGTCCATTCTACCATATCATTGGAAGAGCTTATCAAAACTACATGTACATCACATGTTCTTACATGACGCATGCCACACTGCAATTTCCATGATTTATTGCTCATCGGGACTTCATCTGATTATTGCCCTGGTGCAACTTGTGGTTTAAAACTTAGTCTAATGTGTCAAATATCAAGCGTCCTCTGATATTAGTCTGGCGGCCTGGACTTCACTGCGAATTTCAAGCAGTCGCATTTCTTCATTCTTACCCAGTTCTTTGAATGATGGAACAATATCTCCTTTACTTGCGAACCTGCCATCAGCATTTTCGTTCGTTAGTATTGAATTCTCGACCTAAGTCTTCTAAGTTTTGTGAACGGTCATATTGTATGTGAAGTAAACCTGGGTATTATGTCCCATGTAATCTTTCCAAGTAGCTCTTGCGTAGTGTTGTTGAATTAGTTGAGCCACATTTATATATTCGAGTATGGCAAGGGAATAGACGCGCATGGTTCAGACGCGTCTCAGTCACGACTTCACCGCAAAAGGTTAACTAGTGCTTTCCCAGTCTAGCAAAAGCTGAGGTTCCATCAGCTTATTGTCCACCATCGATTCCGTTCCCCTGCCGCAATACAGCATCGAGAGTTCGCAAGAAGGCACAAGCCCATCGCAAGTCTCGCGTGGAGTGGACAGTTGTTCTAGGGCAGTTCTCCAATACATCTTGTCCTACTTGGCCTTGCAAGTAGCGTTTCAAGTAAGCAGTTGACTGTAGGTTAGTACACTTTCTATTGTAACCTTTGGCCCTTTGACATATATAATACTGTTATACTGTAGAAAATATAGGTGTCTACCATGTTTGGTTCATTCAGTAACAACAATACCCAGCAGCAAGGGCAAAACCCTGCAAATCCAGGCGGTAGTATCTTTGGAAATCCTGCTCAAAACCAAACTCAGCCGTCGACGTCTGGAACATCTTTGTTCGGGAACCCATCACAACCTGCTCAAGGCGGTAACACGTCGCTTTTCGGTAGTACGACGCAGGCTGGGAATACTGGTGGTGGAATGTTTGGAGGCTCGACGACAAATCAGACAGGAGGAGGCCTATTTGGTAACACTTCCAATCAGCAGCAGCAACAGCAACAACAGCAACCTGCTTCGGGTGGTATGTTTGGGAATACCACTCAGCAGCAGCCTGCAACAGGTGGCTTATTTGGTAATCAGACCGCCCCACAACAACCGACTGGAAGTCTCTTTGGAGGTGCTACGAATACCAATCAACAGCAGCAGCAGCAACCGACTGGTGGTCTCTTTGGGGGAAACACAACTCAATCGCAGCCCAGTGGTGGCCTGTTTGGAAATACCGCCAATCAGCAGCCTAGTGGCGGAGGTCTCTTTGGAGGTTCTACGACTCAACAGCCAAGTGGAGGCGGCCTTTTTGGAGGCTCAACGGCTCAACAGCCCGCTTCGGGAGGAGGGTTGTTTGGCAACACCACGCAGCAGCCAGCTACAGGCGGTGGACTGTTTGGAAATGCCACTACCCAAGCACCAACCACGGGTGGCCTCTTTGGAAACACCCAGCAGCCCACTGGGGGTGCTAACCCTTTGTTCGGGAACAAAAATCCAGCGAGCCTTTTTGGAGGGCAAACACAACAACCCTCTGGTGCCCCCGCTGCCAGTGGCGCCAACTCGACTTCTCTGTTTGGGCAATCCACTACTCAGCAGCAGCAGCAGCAGCAGCCTAGCTCATTTTTCGCTCAAGCTCCACAGCAGCAGCAGCAGCAACAACAGCAACCACAACAACAACTACAGCGACCTGCCGGATCCTTGTTTGGATCAACGAATGCGTCTACAACGACTGGTAGTTTGTTTGGTAGTACTATGTCATCTAGTCTACTTTCTTCACGGGCGCACGCGGGTAATACGCAGCAGCAGCAGGTCGATGTCCAATCGCAGTTCACAACTTTGACACAACGCATAGAAGGCATAGCACGTGCATGGGACTCTAATGTTCCAGAATGCCGTTTCCAAGTTAGTTGACGTTTTATTCAATTAGAGAATGACTGCTCAAAGCCTCAAACAGCATTATTTCTACAATTTAGTTGATCCTAATCAGGTCAATCTCTATGGGCGACCACCGAATGCTACGAATGAAACATTGTGGCAAAAAGCCGTTCGCGAAAATCCAGATCCTACTTGGTGGGTTCGAATCGTAACTTAAATTCCTTCCGTTTATTCAATGCCTATGTAGTCTTGTCCCCGCTCTTGCTGTCGGGTTTGATGACCTTCGACAACGGGCGGATGCCCAATCTCAACAAGCATCAGAGCAGCAAGAAAAGCTGAAGGTAGTCCATCTTACTCCAATCCTATGTTCCTATGTATCCGCATCTTATCTTGTTCTACAGGAATTGAAAAAGCGCTTGGAGTCTTTATCTCATTTGCACACCGATACGAACACTTCTCGTCTCCAACGCGCCGTTTCCAATCAATCGCAGCTTTCACATCGTCTCCTACGGTTGATTCAGCATCTCCATCTCTTGATCCCGGCACTTCGGTCTTCTTCTATACGGCCTGAGGAAGAAGCGCTGCGGGCAGCGCTTGAGGGTATAGAAGAGGATATCCGAAGGCCTGGTGGAATGGGAAAACTGAGAGGGAAGTTGAACGAACTTTGGGCACTGGTCGGTGCTGTCAATGCAGCACGAGAGCGTGGAAGGAAGGCCGGGGATGGTACCGCCGAGTGGACAGTTGTTGACGAAGACGGCTTAAAACAGATTACTCAGGTAACTTTGCAGCACCGTTTCTATTGTTGAATTTGCCACTAATCCGTATTGTAGATACTGGGAGAGCAACAAGCGGGACTACAGCATCTCACTAAAGTACTTCAGAGAAATTTGAAGGATCTGGCGGTTATCGAAGGAAAGAGTACTGATGAGGAGGCTATGGACCACTCTTTCAGCTCTACACTGCGTGCTAGTGCAATGTATTAGGTTGCCTGATGGCAATGAGTATACCAGACATCCCGTGAGCCGAGGGCTATAAAAGTAACTTCATGAGCATTCGCTGACTACCGTAATCTGTGACTTTCTTATGAAGCTTATCACCTGCATCTCTATACCTGGCTACGATCCGCACCCTCGAGTCAATTCAAAACAAAGCTCCAGCTGAATGCTCCTAGCATAGTTATATTTTACAGTGCTGTATCCAATAAGACTAGCTGTTTTCTGTGCTTTTATAATTTAAAGTTAGTACGAAAATATCCATGTCACTCCAGTCTATCCCATCAAGTGTTTTCGATTATCCGTGCCTGGCTGATCCGGAACCATTCCTCCCAGAAATACTTCTATCTACGACCATGGCATCAGGGAGTGGAGAAGGTGGTCTCCCACGTAGTCGAGCAATCACATCAACACGACGAGCTGCAGGGAAGAAGGGGGATCATTCCAAGACGGCGTAAGGATGCGAAGCGCGGAAGAACTTACAGTAATCGTGTCTTACGTGCTGATCCGGAAGCTCCTCGTCAGAATCGACGAGAGGGTCAGTGTTCATAATGACATGCCAGGCCTCTGCGAAAAAAAAACAGTAAATTTAGAGGTCAGAATACAGTATTTTTGAATATACGTTGCAGCATAGACCGCTCTGGTCCACCCCGAAAGTCAGATCTCGGTTGTATGTTACCTGAGAAATGATTTAGCAAGCTAATTGACGCTACGCTTCAGCAATGCTCACCTCTCGGCAGATGTGCTGGTTGAATACTATCGCGCTGAGGAGGCATATAATGAAGGAACGGTTTCTCTCTTTGCACTTCTGGAATTTGCTGCCGTGAGGAATGTGTTCGATAAGAGTTTGTCGGCTCAAAAACTACAGAATTCGTGGAAGTCAAAATGTAAGATGACACAACTTTGCAATTATTACCTTTCTGAAGTACAGGAGCGGCAGGTGTGGGTGGGTATCTTTCTTTCTTTTCGGTATGTGTGTTGTTCACGAGCTTCTGCAAAAAGGTATTTCTTTCAGAAGACATCCTCTTACCCCACGCGATTTCATCAGGAGTGTCTACGTTTTCCTTCGCGAACTCAGTCTCGGATAATCGATGCAACCACGGGACTTTGCCATCGTTTTGACGAGAGTAGTCGTCGTCGTAGGGATTGGGTAACTCGGGTCCTTCCAAATAGTGGTATATGAGCCATAGGAAGGCTCTTGCGCGTGAAGTCGATGATACATTGATGGGAAGAAAAAGGTCCAAAAAATTCAAAGGAGGGTCAAAGTGAACATTAGCCAGAGGCTGGATATCGAGAGTTAGTTAACATTCATCAGAGGCAGTGCAAATCATACAGCAGCATGGTTCGCCAGAACAAATATAAGATTAACTACGCTGGTAGGAGGAACTCGACCTGCTCGCTGTTACAACGTTGATGTTGATTATAATGATTGAGTGAGGACCTCGGCAGACTACTCACACTCCGGTCCAAGATCTCTTCTGGAGTAGAGGGAGGCATAGATTTGATTTCGTAAGGTAATAGTGCGGCCTTCAGGCAATTCTTGATTCGAGGTGCATCCTGTGCATTACCGTCTGTCTTCTGGAGCGAGGGGACCGGGTGGTAAGTCCGTAATGCAGTCTTCATTTCAGGAAAAACTGCACTAGTTATCAGATGAGGCAGGAGACATGAATCACGCTAGACATACATGCCATCGTGGTATTGATTCGCCCCACATTTGTCAGGAGAGATATCTTGGCCAGCTCAATGGCGAATGGGGGTGTTTCGTTCATCTTGTCTTTGAGGACCTTGGAACATTTGCTTGAATGGTACAAAGCATTGACATATAAATCACAAAAGCGGATTTTTGAGGTATTTGAGCATCCTGGGGCTTGCGAAGTGAATACAGCTTTGGTATCGGAGAAAATTTGGTGCAGTAGGTCGTACTGAACGTCTTCTCGGGTTAACGGCTCAGCATCGTTACGTTTGATGGGCAAAGCTTTGCGACTGAGATATCCTACTCTACAAAATATGTCTCAGATTTGGTAAGGAACAAAAGAGAAAAATAATAATTACAGAGATGACTCTGGGCTACCCACAGACTGGGCGGTAAGGGACATTGAGGACAAGGTTTCCCAAATACACTGCTATTGTAATAATGCACGCCACACAGCCTGAATTGAACTGCAGCTGGTGACGACCGTGACCCGAACATACAAAAAGGAGAACCTTGGATCTCTGCGACACAGAAATACATCCTTACAAACGTTTGTTCTCTGAAACGTATCTAATAGCGCAGCCCCGCCGTACTCCTTTCATTTGCACCACCACCACGCCCAAAGGATGCGTTATCGTACTCTCGAGATTCGATGGCACGAGTCCAAACCAATCTCTACCTGCGATTTTCAGCCGGTTTCATTCAAAAAAGCGCGCCCTACGCAGGAAAAGAACTTCGCAGGGCAGAATTATAGGCTTGCTACGGGAGGAGAGGATAATCACGTCAGAGTGAGTGATAAGCCCTGCGAATGCACCTATGCCAGTCCTTGACCATCGTCGTATATACAATTTAAGATATGGATGGTTTACCCCAATATCCTGCCTTCATCTCTTATTGACGATTCAGCCACACGCGAGCCAGCTGCTCCTCGACCCGCACGTGTCGAGTATCTTGCTACTCTCAGCAGACATTCTGCAGCTGTAAATGTTGTTAGGTTCTCCCCTAATGGTATGCTCTTTCAACACAAACAACTCTCGTATATCTGACATGGTAATAGGAGAGGCAATTGCTTCCGCTGGGGATGGTATGTTTGAACTCACCAAGCGCGTAACATACTGACAAAACCCGTTTACAAAGACGGGATGATCATCATCTGGGCTCCTTCGGCTAGCCCTCAAACAGCTACGTATGGTAGCGACCTCAGTCCGGAGGACATGCAGCACGAGAAGGAGTACTGGAAACCCCGTACTACTTTCCGGTGTGTATCTATAGCTATTCGATCATACTTTCCATACCTACTAGATTGTTATCCAGGTGTACTACAATGCAAGTATATGACTTAGCATGGAGTCCTTCAGGAGAATATATCTTGGCCGGTAGCACTGATAACTGCGCCAGGGTCTTCAGTGCAATGGATGGTTAGTTTTGTACTATAACACCCTAGATTAGTCTCATTTTGCGTCCTTTTCAGGAAAATGCGTGCATGAAATAGCCGAGCACAATCATTATGTTCAAGGAGTTGCATGGGATCCGTTGAATGAGTACATCGCTACGCAGAGCAGCGATCGTTCAATGCATGTGTATCGCATATCAACGAAGCAGGGCTCTTTCGAAGCTCACGCTGTAGGCAAAAATTCCCGCATGCCATACCATCATAGCCGAACACCCAGCTCACAAAGCCGTGTCAAGCCATTTCATCGCGAGTCTACAGCAGCGAGCGACGCCGAGTCAGTAACCACGACAATGAGTGAACAGCACAAGGAAGACACCATCTCTGCCCCGTCTAGTAACCAGGCTCCCTATGCCCCTTTGACACCAGCTACATCGGTTGCTAGTACGCCATCTGCGTCGATGTTCCCTCCTCCTTCTGTAGATAGACCATCCTCTAGACGGTCGTCTTTCAGCGGCTCTAATGCACCTAGCTCCCCTTCCCATTACGCTCGATATGGCCGGTCACCTTCACCTATGCCTCCGCTTCCGGCCATACGTGCATTGCCATCTCCTTCGTGGTCTGCAGTGAAGTTGTATGGGGATGAGAGCTTTACGAACTTCTTCCGACGCTTAACCTTTAGCCCAGACGGAGGTTTACTAATTACACCTGCGGGTCAGTTTGAGGACCCGTCCATCTTACCCGGTTCCTCTAAGACTAAACCAGAAGAACCGTCTCGTGGTCGAAAAAACCGACCTTCTATTAAGACCAGTGACCCAATGAATGCGGCTTCCGCTTCATCGGTGTACATCTACTCGCGCGCCAACTTCGCTCGTCCTCCTATTGCGCAACTTCCTGGACACAAAAAACCTAGTGTTGCAGTCAGATTTTCTCCTATTCTTTATGAGCTGCGTCATGGCGTTGTCGGAGCTGGTTCTTCGAGCGAGCCGAAAACTGTGACGGTGGAGAAAGGTAAAGAGGGTTCACTGTCCGTGGATATTATTAGTTCTGTCCCTCCTGTTGGTACTGCACAGCAACTAGGGCTTCTGTCTCCGCAGATTGAAAAGGTTGGAAATTCATCTTCCATCGCAGCTCCTGCCCCATTGCCCGCAGCATCTGTGTTACCCTCGACTCTCAGTTCTCCGACAGAGCTGCTGAAGCCTCCTACGCCTCTTACCCCCAAACCATCCACACCGAGCATAGCTCCTCAATCTACCAGCGGTTCTGTGTTTTCCTTGCCTTATAGGATGCTATATGCCGTGTTGACGATGGACACTATCGCTATCTATGATACACAGCAAGCGAGTCCTGTTTGCTTGTTGTCTAAGCTGCATTATGATGAGTTCACTGATATGACATGGTGAGTAGTTTAGACCTGAAAAGCCATGCTATAATCCAAATATCCGCCTATAGGTCACCTGATGGACAATGTCTCATACTCTCCTCGCGTGATGGGTACTGCACAATCATAATATTCGACGAGATCTTGCCGACCCACCACACTCAGCAACACAGTCTTCAATTGCAATCCATTGCACACCATAACTCTGTGCCTCTATCGTACCCTACACCTGTAATACCAGTTACAGGTTCGCATATGACAACGCCTACTGTTCCCACCAAGAGGAGTGAGCCTCCTTTAACCCCCACCGCCAGCGTCGACGACAATATACCTAGTCTTGCTACAGGCAGCAGTTCTATTGTCCGTAATAAAGCACCGGAGGAGTCAACAACTGAACAGGAACCACCAAAGAAGAAGCGTCGTGTGGCGTTGACTCGTGTTGGCGACCTTAATCCTTGAAGACCGACATCCAGGGCGATCCATCTTATTTTCTTTGCTGTTATGCTTATGTTACCTTATAGCTTCGTATTTTGCTGTCGAATATGTTCTTGAGCTTTTGTAAATATGTACGTTACTCTTGGGTGGTTCACAAATGGTTGATCTATGCACATATGTGGTCGAGCGGCTTGACATACTATACATATATTGTAACAATGCATAACAATACAAGAGACGAGAAGTAGCATGCCTGCCTGCCTTTGAATGACCGTGCGTCCATACAAGTGCTATCAATACCATACAAGTACCTATTAACCAGTCTTGTTTTTGCTTCTCTTCCCAACTTGTGCTTGGAAACCACTCTTGATGGCATTGACGGAGCGTCTAGAACCGCATGACTCGCATGACATGAAAAATATACGATTTTCTTTGGTCAAAAGCGTATCGGGAGACTTGCACGTTTTGCAAGTAACATATTCAACTAAAATTTTACGAAGCGCATGAGAAGTAAAAAGGTGTACTCCCGCGGTATGAACATGCTTGACTTACCAATGTATCGTCGCAACACATTTTCAATCTGCTTCGGTTGAAATCGTCCTTTGATAACCAATCTCCCCGAACCATCGACAGAACCGGTAGTACCCATTTCAGCGAACAGGAACTGAATAACATGCTCTGGTTGCCTGTGCATCCGCTTGCAGATATCGGCGACATTGGCAAAGATAGATTTTTTGTTTCCTTCTCGGAGAATCTGGGGAGGGGCGATCGTGTAACGTTTACCGGTGGATGTAAGTAGTGAAGGGTTGGAGGCATGAAGGGAGGCATAAAATCGTTGTAGGAGCTGAAGCAACACGATATTAGTAAGACGTTTCAGAAGAGTACGAGGATTAGCCAAACCTCTGAATAGAGATAATCTCGGTCACTACTAAGCCAAGGCTCGGTACCTGCATCGATCCCTGTCGGTGCATCTTGACCACGCGCAAATGGATCATCTCCTAACTCAGCTTCGTCGATGTCCTCTAAGTGTTGGCCATCATCAGCTTCCGCTTCATCGTCTTCTTTCGTCTTTGCCTGGTTAAGCTCCTTCTCGAAATCTTCCATAGCCTTTTTCTTTGACGACGATTTCTTCTTCTTCTTTATATCAGAGAAATCGAGATCTTCTGAGACTGCAGGTACTGCTGGTGGTGGTGGTGTGGGTGCACCAGGGGCTTCATCCCCCTGAATAGGACATGAGCATTTCGAGAAAGCGTACCTAGCAAATTTGAAGACGTACCAAATCCATTGGGATCTCTTTCTTCTTCTTTTTCTTCTTCAAACCGTCAGGGAACATGGCCTTGAAATCATCATCTTCCTTCACTCCATTGGTGCCTTCAACATCGGCTACAGCATCAGGATCTTCATTGCGCTTCATTTGCTCATGCAAGGTGGTAGGACCCAGATCCACAGCATCTCCATTCGTAGTGTGGTTGTCGATGGATATCGGTGCAGGCGTTGTGGGATCAGCATCAGCACCGAGGGGGTCTTCGGTGAAGGCGACGGTCTTTTTCTTACGTTTCTTAAGAGAGGGATCGAATAGTGGTTCTTCCGATGACATTTTAGCGGTCGTCGCTGTCGTGGTCGATGTCAAAGATGTCTTGCTCGTCGGATATAGCAATAGATATGAAATGACTCTGCCTGCCTCAGATGCCGTGTTTAGACTCCGCTCGAACTTTTGCGTGCTAGCTCCGCTGGTGCGACGCCGAGCACGCCCGATAGAGACAGCACAGAACGGAATATTTCTCTCTCCTCTACTTCAATTCTCATGTTTGCACGGCGAACGCTTGCCCGCATCTCCTCCCAGCCCTCGCCGCTGGGAGCTGCACCACAAAATGCCCGTAACATGGCAACCTTGCGGGAAATCGAGCTGCGGTTGAAGTCGGTCAGAAATATCGAGAAAATCACGAAGGTGCGTTAGCAGGGTACATATGCCATGTCACCAGTGCTGAAAAATAGCTGTGCGGATATCGTCCTCTAGTCCATGAAAATGATTGCTTCGACCAAACTTGCCAAAGCACAACGCGCCATGCAAAGCGGCAAGCAGTACGGTCTCGCTAACTCTGGTGAGTTTGTCTTGATATTACACTTTGTATAGATGCTAAGATATATATTCTTTTTCAGTGGTTTTCGAAAATGCAACCGCTGAGAACCCAGCCAAGCGCAAGCTCTTCATTGTGGTTTCGTCCGACAAGGGTCTTTGCGGCGGTATCCACTCCTCTGTCTCTAAAGCCACGCGCCGCGCGCTGGCTGATGAAGAGAATGTTGTCGACTCAGACTCTCCTGTCATGGTTATTGGTGACAAGTCAAAAGCCCAGTTGTCTCGTGCTGTCCCACAAAACCTGGCTCTCACCTTCAACCAGATTGGGCGAGACATCCCTACTTTCGCCGACGCTGCTGGTGTTGCAGATTTGATTGTCAAAAGTGATGCCAAGTACGACAGCATTGCTATCGTTTACAATAAGTTTGTCTCTGCCATTTCTTACGAGCCAGCAATTGTCGAAGTGTTGAATGAGAACACGCTGAAGGAGTCGCGTTAGTTGTGTTTCTTTCGTGGATATCCTATTTCTCATATATTTCCTTAGCGGGCTTCAAGGTATATGAGATGGAGGACGATGTTACCAAAGATCTCGCCGAGTTCTCACTAGCTAACGCTATCTATGCTGCCCTGGTCGAGGCTCACGCTTGTGAACAAAGTGCTCGGTTTGTACCTTCCGGTTGAAATCGCCCCCCACTTTATGCTCACATTTTTTTACAACGGGATTTAGTCGTAATGCTATGGACAATGCATCGAAGAACGCCTCTGACATGATCAGCAGTTTGACGATGCAGTACAACCGTGGTCGCCAAGCCGCCATTACCAACGAGTTGGTCGACATTATCACTGGTTCGTCTCTTTTCATGTTCAGTTTGGTGGTGCACATCTCAATTATTTTCATTCAGGTGCAAGTGCTCTGTGAGCTTACGCGGAAGTTGCTAGAGTCTGGAGTATTACACAGCGTACTCGTGTCCTTTTACGTTTTGTAGTAGGTAACGAGATTCAATTCCGGATGTTATCGAACCACCGCACGGCTTTCCGGCGTACTCGCCAGGTGATACATACAGAGATACATTAGAAGAATTATTCATGGAGTTCAGTTAATAGCGATGTCGGACATATGATCGATCGTCCTGAAAACTCCAACTGACAGTTTTGAGCAATAGTGAAAATAGAATAAAATGACTGATAAAACAATTGTGGAGTTGTATTCTATCTAATGAACCGGGACATTAATTGCGTAGACCGTATGTTTCGTGTATATTAGACCACCTACAGGAACGGAAACTACGTTAGTATCACCACTGACTGAACCACTGTTCGAGTATACCTTCGGTGCCAGACTGACAATCTTGCCCCACCCCTTCATCCTCAGATCCGCACTGACAACACCACCTATGCGCGTGCCCAACATTTCTCTCTTGTTGTTTAGAAGAACGGCAGCATTGTCGTCGAACCTGACGAAGCGACCGTCTGGTCGACGTACAGACTTTTTTGTGCGCACAATAACAGCCCGTCGGACGTCTCCGCGACGAACTTTGACTGCAGTTGTCGAAGCTTGTGTTGCTGCAGAGACTGGTCTTGCACGCTTGACGACACAGACTATTTCATCACCTACAGAACCCCAGCCATTGTTGACCTTCTGCTTGAGAACGTTGACACACTCGACGAGAAGAGCGCCAGAGTTATCTATAACCTAGATAGTATATGTGAATGAGATTATATTCCAGTTCTGAGCCATATAATGCCTTACATTGAGTGTACCCTTGAGGCCGATCATAACCCTTTTAGAGAGAAAACAAAAGTTGCAGAGTCGAGGGAGCCGTGGGAATGCGAAGGGAAGAGGTAGTCATCGTGGGAAAGCGGTTCTCAAGATTATCTGGAGTGCTTCACGGTTGGTCCCCTGAGCCCTTAGAACCGAATACTCCAGTGTCCTTTCTGTTTCTATTTTTCTTCCTCCACATCGCTATCTGCAGAAAAGACACAATGCCAGCATCTCGTCGTGGTAGCGGCAGCGTCACATTGCCTACTGGGCAAACGCTTGCGATACATACTCGTATTCAAGGCGAAGAGGATTTGCCCCATGCAACCAAGAAGTCTGTAATGCGCATATATCTGTGGTGTTCGTCTTTTAATATTTAATCTGCATTTGTAGGACCATGGCCGATCACCTCAGGAAGTATGAAAGCCTGTAAGTCGATGTACAATCAGGGGCTATGCCGCGGATCTATTAAGGCTTCATCATCCGGAATGCAGATTCACGTTGACGCCGCAAAGAATGCGGATGATTGTCGAGGCCTTCACAGAAACGTTGGAGATCGGCTTGAACAAGCCTAATCAGATTGTGGTGCGTACTCTGACTTGTCTATTTACCTTCCGAGGTCATCGATACCGTACATTTTCCGATTTCTGTTGCATGAGCTCCAATACGTCTGTAAAATTGTCATCTCTATGTGATAGTGTGCTACCCTTGAATTTACTGGCTTTTGCATCCATAACATCGACCATGTCAAAGTGCTGATGAATCTTCGTTTTAGCCTATGATTCCTACCTATGTTTTTGGTTGGCCAACGGGACAAGAAACTGGTGACTTTCTAGCCCTGGACCTTGGTACGTCTTCATCTGTGCGTCCATCCCTTCAGCAAGCGTCGTGTATCTGTACCATAGTCCATCGCGGCTAATGATGTCCCGGGTAATTATCGGTGCCTCAATCTCAGGCGGTACCAATCTTCGTGTATGTCTTGTAACTTTGCAAGGCGAAGGGAAATTCGAGATTACTCAAACGAAATATCGACTGACGGAAGAACAAAAACAAGACGACGGGCAGAAGCTATTCGATTTCTGTGCAGAATGTTTGAAGACTTTCGTCGACACAAATTTTGGCGAACGTGACAGTGCGCTAAAGCCGGGACAGAACCTTCCACTTGGGTTTACTGTGAGTCCTCTTGTTTACTATCTTTTGGCTTGTGGTACTGATGACCTTACTCATGCACGTGACGATTGGTCGGCGCAATAGTTTTCATACCCTTGCTCGTGAGTGTGAATTCACCGTGCGTTTAGTCAAACAAATGTTAATAAACAACTCACGACTGACTAACAGGCAAGAGAGAATTGACCATGGTGAACTCATCCGATGGACAAAGGGCTTTGGTGCTGCCAACACTGAAGGCAGAGACGTGGCAGAAATGTTCAAGAAGTCGCTGGAAAAATACGTGCGTCAAAAATACATTTACCAAATATTATTAGATCGTTCAAGGGTCAAACAGCAACTCCCCATACAACTGACTGCACTCATCAATGATACTACGGGAACGTTAATAGCATCTCATTATGTAAACCCTAGAACGAAGATTGCTGTCATTTTTGGCACCGGATGTAATGCTGCCTACATGGAAAATGTGAAAAATATCGAGAAAATCAACCACCTCGGTATCGATCCCGCCGCGGAAATGGCGATCAACTGTGAATGGGTACGTTGATCCCATGAAATCAGCAGGCGTCTTAGCTGATCCAGTGACAGGGTGCTTTCGATTCTTTCGAACACGAGCACCTACCCCGGACTAAATATGATGCCATTGTTGATGATACTTCAAATAAACCCGGAGAGCAAGCATTCGAAGTGAGTCACGCTGTCGGACTGATGTTTCCGTTGATCCCCGTGCTAATTTGATCCTAAAAATCAGAAACTCATATCTGGTCGTTATTTGGGTGAAATCTTGAGGCTGGTGATATGCGAGCTGATAGATGAAGGTGTCCTCTTCCTTGGACAAAACACCTATAAACTAGAGAAGCCTTACTGTCTTGACACAGCGTTCCTTTCGCTTATGGAGAGGTATATGTATCTTATCTGGATATCTGGGCCAATAGCTCACCGAAGGTGACAGTGATCCGACCGATGAGCTCCTCATGATCATCGGGATTTTTACACACTTCTTCGCTCTTGAGACAACATTAGCAGAACGCCAGTTCTTCCGTGCTCTCGCGAAGCTCATCGGAAGGCGTGCCGCACGACTGAGCTCCTGTGGTATCGCAGCGATCGTCAGTAAAATGGGTTACTTGGAAGAAGGATGTATGGTTGGTGCCGACGGCTCATTGTACAACGTGAGTTTAACTTCTATCGTATTCTCACGCTGAAGCTGATCGATCGATGATAACACGCAGAAATACCCTGGATTTGCGGATAGGGTACATGAAGGTCTGCAGGACATTTTTGGAGAGAAGGGACGGTGAGTTATTTTACCCCACTACGGGTCTTTGTTGAGTAGTGATTCGCAACTCACCGCAGGAACATTATAACGCACCACGCCGAGGACGGAAGTGGTGTCGGAAGCGCTATAATAGCAGGTCAGTAGTGATCAAGTTGTTGTGAAATTTTGGTACTGATGTGGTGGATCTATTTTCCAGCTATGACAAAGATCAGGAAAGACGCTGGATTGTACATTCATGTTTGAACTATAGACAGGATGAAGGTCATTGTGACTCAGCGAAGAATAGACAAATAGCTATGTAATTGGTTCTGCTCTGTAAGACAGATTTCAAGCCAATTGTATTATTGACAAATTATCATGGGATATGGAACCAGGGCTCGGATGATTGCGGTGCTTGGCTGCATCATGTGCATTGCCTGCATTGATATTTTGCAATATCGACGAGGACGGTCTTGATGCAGTCAACAGGATCAGTATATGAATCAATATTGACAAATGTCCCAGCCAGCCTACGACGACGACGGCATGAGAATGGAGTGATGCAGGTGTCATTCACAAGGTGAGATAATACCAAGAGGCAACGAGGCAACTTTTGCGCTCGTCGATTGTACATGTGTGCCTCGTGTCATTCGGCAACTTTGCAAGTAATGGATGTAAGTGTACTAACTTAAGCGGGAATTATCCTCGCTGGGCGCTGGGCACGAGGGCTCACTAAACTCCTAACTCGGCGTACGCGGGAAAGAGACGGCGATTAGATTACGAGTAACATGTACGTAGTTTGTAAGACGGCGTTGATCGTTGATGCGGCTGAGCATACCAAAGAAGGGGGATGGGAACATTCTTGAAGCAAATTCCGTAAGTGCGCTGGCAATGTGTTCTCTCCTACACAGGGTATTGGGCGGCCGCGTCCCGTTTCACAGGAAATCATATGGACTGATCAGACGGAATTCGACCACGGAGTACTGGAAAGTACACACTTGGTAAACTGGTTGTAGCACGGCCGTGCACAGATCTGGCTCGCCGAGGACTTGAAGCGAGGGGTATCCTCACCTATCAGAAGTTTCAATAAATCGGGCCAGCGGCTCGACGGGCCCAGCGGCTAAAATGAATCAAAAGAAGGGAAAAGCTTAAGGAAATATGAGTATGATTCCTGAGATTCAGTTTGGATTTAGTTATAGGCAGCGGGAAGACTGAAATGAGAGTTGTTCGGAAATTTGTGAGCTATGAAGTATGAATATAGCGATCGCTGCAAGTATGGTATTTTTACTGACAAGGTGAGGCAGACTTCCGTCGACGAGAGCAGCTGACTATGGTATTGCGCATGAGCTTTGGAAGGCGGTCTCGGTAGAAGGATGATGTGGCAACGTAAAGATAAAGATTATCGAAGGGAACGTGCTTGATTGCCATTGGGTGTTGGAGGGACAAGGATAACTGGGTGGCCTCGTGTTCGAGAATGCAGGTCAAGGAACGTTTTGCACGAGTGTGTAAGATTCCGGATCAGCAAGGTGTGTGATGCCATTGGTCAAGTGGTCGGATATGAAGATGCTAAGAGAGGAGGTGGGGAAGACATGATGTTGACATTTATGAGAAAGATGATACGCATTCGGTTAACTCCACAGAGAATGGTTTCGTTGCTACTGCGGATTCTCGGATAGCATGACAGGAGTAGCGAACATACCTCACGCATCATTCCGTGCCCGTGGCTGCAGAACCCATGACTATGACGAGTACCAATCATTTTAATGCGAACAAGCTTAATTTCTCATGTCTTCTTCGGCATTCTTTCGTTGATTCCCCAGAACGACCAGGTACAACGCCCGATCGTTTGAAAGCCGTTCTCGAAGACCTAGAATGCTGGGACAATGCAAATATGCACCTGTAAAGGAGGTGTAAAATAAAAAAAACAAAACATGTGGACTGGCCCCTAGCATGATGTTTGCAAATTGAGTAAACTGAATAAACGGATGACAATAATTTAAATATGACAATAAATCGACGTAACCAGCAGAGGGGTCGGATGCGCGGAAGAGAGGCCGGCTCCAGGCCAGTGATGAGCCTGAGACTTTTGTCGACAAGCCGAGACCAAGCCGCCAGTTCCCCGCATTTTGCCTTATTTATTTATGGCGGAGTTACACAGACCTATTATCTCCCTCTCTCCCCAACGTTTTCTCCTCTCTCCCATCATCCATATTCCATCCTATTTCTCTTATTCAACGTTTCTTTCATTTTCATTTTATCTTCTCTTATAAAGCCCCTTGGGTCTTCCTTTGCAATCACAGATGAGCTTGCTATGAGGTTTACACGCACACCAGTTTCTCTCGGGATCCTGAAGACAGCACACATTCACAAATCACACAGTGTTCTCCGCAAGTTTGCTACAGCAGTCAGTATCTCCCCACCATCCTATCTGTCTCTCCCACCTCCCTCTCTTCCTGTCATACATCCCTCAGGTATGTCATCCCACAACGTCGTCTTTACACCATATCAACCCTAACGTAATCCTTTCACGTAGCTGTAAACGCCTCTGCCACAGACGCTAACGAAGACCTCTTCCGTTACACGTCTGGTCGATGGCTGTACAACGAGTCGCAACAGTTGGCACAGCGTTATATTAAGTTTGATGTAGCTGGGTTGCATCGTGTAATTGCCTCGGTATGCGGTTCAGAAGTCGTCGCGATGGAGAAGAAGGAGGGCCTCTTTAATAAATCATTCATGGTCAGACTGGCTAACGGTGCGCAGGTAACTGCTAGGATTAAGGTCAGTCTTATACTCATCCCAATTTCAAATTTTTTACTGACTGTGCTTTATCTTAATCAGAATCCCATCGCTGGCCCAGATCATCTTATGACTTCTAGTGAAGTCGCTACAATGGACTTTGCCCGTAACAATCTCGGTGTCCCAGTACCAAAGGTTTTGTCGTGGAGTTCCAAAGCTGCCACCAATGGCGTCGGTGCAGAGTACATCATCATGGAAACTGCACCTGGCGTCCAGTTGAGCAGCGTATGGCGTACTCTGGATGCACGGCAGAAAAAGAATATTGTCAATTCGCTAGTATCCATCGAGCAAAACTTCCTCAATGCCAAATTCGATCAGTACGGCAGCCTCTACTACAAGGACGACATCCCTGCATCGCAGAGGGCTCCACGTCTCTATGCCAAGGGCTCGCGCAATTTTGGCTCCGAGGACAAGTTTTGCATTGGGCCCATTGCTCATCGCAACTTTTACGAGGATGAGAGGGCAGTCTTGGATATTCACAGAGGACCGTGTGCGTATGCTCATTTTTATATTTAATTATCTATTTTGACCAAGTGCTACAGGGTCATCGCCGGCTGAATACCTTGGCTCCCTCGCCTCGCGCGAGGAAGCGTGGATATCACGTTATGCCAAACCCAATATTCATGATGATCCATTCCGTAGCGTGTCTGGTCCACAGGTACAAGAAGAACATCTCCATGCCTTACAGCAGTACCGTTCTATAATACCTGCTCTTGTTCCCACGTCCAAGAAGGTCTTGTCCTCTATCTTGTGGCACCCTGACCTCAACCCCGGAAACGTATTCGTCTCTGATGATGCCGAGTGTCGCATTGTCAGTATAATCGACTGGCAAGGATGCTGGGCAGGCCCTGCGTATCTTCAAATGAACACCCCATCTTTCGTGGCATATCAGGGAGGTGAGGTTCAATCTGGGCTTGAGTTTCCCAAGCTGCCCGAGGATTACGAGAACATGAGCGAGCCGCGGCAAGCCGTTATTCGGGAGGATCATAAGGCCAAGATGCTCCACAAGTTGTACGAGATCAAACAACTATTCCCCTACCGGATTGATCACCGCGAAGTACGGACAATGCCTGTACGTGCTGCGGGACGGACCTGGAAGGATGGTATACTGCCTCTTCGTCTTGCACTGCTTGATGTGTTTGCTCAGTGGCCTGAGCTTTCCTGTGCGGATCAGCCATGTCCATTACGGTTTACACGGGATGAGGTTCGCGAGATGAAGAAACAAAGGGATCGCTATCTTGACTGGCACGACTTCTTGGATGATCTCCGCATGACCTTTGGCATGCGCCTTTACGGGTGGGTTTCGCCCAATGAATATCCTTCCAAGAGGGCTCTGCTGGAAGGTACGCGCAGTCGTCTACCTATGGCGCTGACGAACGAAATAGAGGCCATCCTCCCCCAGGACTGGTGGCCTTTCCGGGATACTGTTTGAAGTAAATTTATCTTTTTCTCTGTCCTTATTTATTATTTTTTGTTACTTTTTTCTTTCCTTTTTTGTTTTTCCAACTGGTGTGATTGGGGGATACGGACCTATTCTACTATAATGCCTCCCGTCCAGCTAATCTCCGTAGATTTTTCATAGATTCTCTTTCCATCCTCATCTTTTTCTCTGGTGTACACTTGGGGAATCACGGCGATCCAGTTGCTACTTCTACTGTATTGGTTTACATGGGTTGTTTTACAGATTTACTTGGGCTTACATACACACGATTGTTTTGAATGTCATTTGATTTTAAACGTTTTATTTAACCGAAAGCTTGAGTGTACGGTATGAATAACCGGTAACCGGTAATCGGAATTGTATGTGGACAAAATGCCGTAGTGGACGGAAAGATTCACGTTCTGTTTCTGAACGCTTTTAAGCTCCCATTCGCCCACATTCAGTTCATTCTCTAAAGCCGTCAACATGGTTGATCTCGGACAGTTCGTAGGGTACGAATTCAAACACGATAGAGCTGTACGTTACTTCCACACTCTTGATGTTCTACCACTCAAGGATGTCCTCAGGTTGCGTGGAATAGGAGGGATTTGATATTGTATGCTATCGGCGTAGGCGCAAAACAAAATGACTTGTCATTAGTTTATGGTGCGTTTTATATTGCTTCTACATAGATCAAGTGATCTGATGGCGCATTTTCAGAGCTTGGTACGAGCACTGTTCGTTGTTGGTAATTACAGGTTTCTGAGCGTGACGCAGATAAATCATGGGCACCTTTATCCACCTTCCCGGTTACCCTGGCTTTAAAGGGTATGCCCGTCATTATATCCCATGGATTCAGTCTCATCACAATCTATACAGGAGAGTCGTCTGACGTCAATTCCTACCTCGATTTGAAGAATACTGGGGAGCTACCCAAGGGGTTCCCACACCTTGACATCAAGCGCATTGTACGTTCTTCAAAATCTTTTCCCTATTGAGGCTGTGGTCTCCGTTGACACTGTTCTGTTACGTTATAGGTTCACGGAGCTCAGAGTATCGAGGTTTTGAAAGAATTACCTCCTGTTAGCGGTGATGGCTGGAAGATGAAGAGTAAGATATCTGCTTTCAGCGAGAATAGTAAGTACTACTTGTTTCGCTACTTTTACGACGGACATTAAGTGGCTTGACAGAATCGGGTGTGATTTTGGAGAGAGAAGGTTTGTTACTCGATCCCAGTGGTGTTCCTTACGCTCGGCTTCTTGTAAGTCAACCCAGATGTCTACCGTTTTTGGATGTAGTCCCTGAATCTGTCTTTCTCTATACGCACCTTCAAGAGTAGCGAATTTTTTGTGGGATCCAAAGTCAATGGGACCAAATTCTCGAAGAGTATCTCAAGTGCTCCTCAGAGTAAACCGATACCGAAAGACCGTAAGCCAGACTGGGTAGTTCAGGATGCGACCACACCCGAGCAAGCCATCGTGTACCGCCTGAGTGGCGATTATAATCCTTTGCATGTCGGTGCGTTGCAATTCCTTCTCTTAATATTAAATCAACTATGGCTCATAAGATATGTTGGATGTTTGTTGTACACCACAGATCCGGAAGCTGGAAAGCAATCTGGGTTTAACGGCGTGATTTTACACGGCTTGTCTACGTTTGGATTCGCTGCCCGAGCTATATCGGAGGCTGTTGGCGGCGGCAACCCACGCGCTCTGGTCTTTTTTGGCGTGCGGTTTACTTCACCTATTATCCCTGGCGATAAGCTTGAGACTCAGATATGGGAAGTTGGTTCCGGCCCTAATGGCATGACGGAAGTGAGCTTTATCACGAAAAATTTAACTAGTGGAAAGGTGAGTTATGCATACGATCACTTGGACTTGTGTGTGGCTCATGATAATTTGAACTAGGTTGCTTTGGGCAGTGGGGTCGCATTTGTGAAGAAGGCAGAAAAGGCCAAATTATGATTGGGATGGTAACGATTAATGTGGCATGTATTTCTATATCTTCAGATACAGCACGAGATCCCATTCTTTCTTGACATTCGGTTCTGCATGTATGTCGTCGACATACTTGTATATTATTTCTAAGTTTATCTACCATTCAACTTTGTTTTCTAGCAAATGATTCAGATCATTGATATTCATGTCTGTGATACATCTATTCTATTTTTGTAGAGTTTACCTCTGCACTTGTTCTCATCACTCTCGCGCGGTCTAAAATAGCGTCCGCCTCGAGGTAACATCCCTTGAGCCATCGATTAGGCTCACCATCCTTTTCAGAATTATTATCCTCGGGATTACTGAAAGCTGTCCTAGCATGTAGGACACGTCTGTTATCGAATAAGACTGCATCGCCTTCGCGAAGTGTGTATTCAAACCGGTTGATAGGATCATCCAAAAGAGTAGCGAATCGCTTGAGGGCGGGGTAAAACGTGGGTGGCGTCGAATGAAGAAGGAGAGGGGCTTGGAACGGTGGGGAATAGTTGATGTGTTGAATCTGGATTTTATCCTGGGTTGAAGCGTCCAGACTGGAATTTGGGGACGATGTTGCGGGAGAAGGGGAAGCGAGTTCAATTGTGGGATGCTCGAAATGTAGATGGTGGCCGTCGTTGACGTAGTGGAAAGGTACAGGAGTGTTGGCTAGTGTATCGAAATCCGCGGGGTTCGATGAACGCAGCGTCGACGCTACGTGGAAGGCATCCACAAAAACGGAAGTACCGCCCAAGACACGATTCCGTAGACAGTGCAGAATCTGGTAACGAGGTGGGTGTTGGAAATATCTGTTGATAGAATCAACTTTTTAACTCTGGCGTTGATGGTGTATGACATACAGGAGATCCATATGTAGATCTAGGTTCAGATTTGTGTATGCTATATTGCGGCTGTTTCGGACATTCTTAACGTCCCAGAGTTCTCCGTAGAATGTTTCGCGAAGTTCACCAAAGGTATTGGCGAGACGGCGTAGCTCGCATGTCTGGTTATCGTGTTCGTGATTGGGCACACCAGTGACGAAGAGCAGACCGAACTGGGTGAGTTGGGTGATGGCAGATAGCAGGCTGGAAGTATTTCGTAGGGAATCATAAGGCAGAAATAGATTATCTGTTTTGGCTATCGATTGGCCATCCCACATCTTCGTTTCTTGATCTTTGTGATAGCGAGAAAGTGCCGCAGAGGAAGAGTGCCTTTCGAGAAATGAATAATGGTAAATAGACTCGTGTCCGTCCTTCCATTTGACGTGCACGCCTTCGTGAGTCGTTGTGACACCGTTAGGGACGGGATGCATATCAGACGAAATATCAGACGTCCTGTGAAGTTTCTGCAGAGTTGATGTGTGGACACAGGAGGGACATTGGCATGAGTCACGCAGCCATATGTGCGGGAATTTCGTTCGTAAAGACCGGACAGATATTTCCTTCTCGTCAACTGATATCGAGGATAGAGGGCGAGCAGAGATAGACAAGGGAGCCCATCTAGGTCTGCTGTGAATTGAATAGTTGACTGGTCGTTTGGGGGGCACAGCGGTATTTCTGAATCGAAACATACTTTGATTACAGCTGGATTTGCATGCGACGTTATACCTTGGACGTGGTTTAGATCTAACTTGAAGCTGAATTTTGCTGTCTAGACAGCAGCGCGGCAGAGCGGCCCGAGTTTAACAACTGACTCACCTGGCTTCGAGTTCCAGGAAACCATGAAGTCAGTGTTTCTTCCTCTAGACATATTCTTATGAAAGTGACCTTTATCATGCTCGACTGGACATTTTTCCGATTTTATTTTATTCTTTCGTGTACACTATCATCGACTTCTTTGAGCGCCCATTTGTACCATCATAACTCATAACATTCAAACACTAATGGCTGAACTTCCAGTGTTTTGCTAGGATTACTTGAGTTTTGACCCAATAATCAATGGACAAATTGATTGAACATCATGATATACAGTTAGAACAGAATAAAAACATTTTTCCATCCTAAAATACTGCAATAAAGTTTAACATTATACATACTATTGAATACAAAAATGAATATACTCAGCATCATTATCCTGATTAGCGAGAGAGATGTTCATTGCAAGGCCTTACTTACAGTTCTAAAGTTGGTCAAAATAACTACAGTAATTATTGTTATTTCGGCCTTTATAAGGGCAATACAATCTCATATAATAAAATTCAGATTTCATTGATGTTAAGCCTTTGTGGCAAAACCTACCAAGATTTTGGAGTTAGAGTACCCTTGTTTACAAGGATTATGTCATGAAGCAATCTGAAGAGAATGGAACCTGATATGTGTGTGATCAGTTAGATAATAGTTTATTGGTGATAAGCACTCACACAGACATTACAACCCATTGCCCTCCAGGCACACCTGGCACCTATAATACTGCGGTAGTGGATGGATGTTATTGGAAAGATTATGTAATTGCCAGGAGAACGTGCATACCAGCCTTTGGTGTGAGTAGTGTAACAACCAAAAGTTAGTTACTCTGGCGCACACAGGAACACACTATAAAGGTAGGGAATGGGGAGTGGTTACCCCTTAGGCTGCAGAGAGTTTGTTGGTTAACAACAGGAGGACTCGCTAAGGAGTCTCCTGGATCTATTGGGGTATATATACTAATACAGAGTGTTTGTACTTATGTACTGTACAGTTGATAAAGTCAGTGGCTGATGATGTCATGGGGCCTAGCCCGCATGACCAGCTCCACTATGTGAGAGAGTTGTATCTAAAATAAGAAGAAGGCAACGCGGCGCGAGAAAGAGGAGTTTGAACAAAAGGGGAAGTGCTGCATGGCACCATGTGTGAAAGCTAAAGTATACAAGGTTAAAGCGGAGAATGAAAATGAAGGAAAGGTCCGAAAATTGTGTTATCGTAACAAGTAGTGCCATTTTCTGTGACAATTGTGAAAATAGACCTACGGTACCAGGAACATTGACATGAGAATCTGCATGTATTTTCTATTAGTCCAATACTATTGTTGGACAATTGTGAGGCAACGATAAACTATAACAAAAACGAAACCTGTCTCCTTCTGCACTTGCAGGGAGTAAAGGGTTCAATGAGCTTGAGGTCGACAGACGCTAGTAAATATAGTGGGTAGAGGACTTTGAGAGGTAAGCTTCAAAGGTTCTTGTTGAGGAGTAAAGCGGGTAAATTCAGTAATAGAAAACTAAGGAGCCATACATGAATAGGTAAGGCTTTATATAGGGAACTGTCCGTTCCTCAGACCGAAAGGAGAATATACGAAAAGTGGTCTGAGGAATTAATCAACCAATAAGAAAAAGGGAGAGTAACTATCGTACGACTTTTGACTTGAATTAATCAGCAGGTGAGAGACTTGTACTAATAATAGAGGTTTGTCACGCGTGTTCAGGAACCGTATCCTCATGATGAGGTACGATCCTAAATAATGCGTTATTAGTATTACCAGGCTTTACTGGGGCTTGGAGCTGGTTGGCGAGATGCCTACTACCAGTCCCTACCCAGTGTGCTGGCTGGCTGGGAGTGATACCCAGTCTCTGATCTGTGATATAAAATGGTAGCGATGGTTAAGAAAGCCTGTGAGGGCTATGAGAAGTAAAACGGCAAAAGATACCTCTAGCTCTAGAGCCAGAGGTGTAACGGGAAAAGCATTCGAGAACCAAGACATAACGAAGATAGGAAAATAATGAAATGGTCCTTACAACAATAGGTGCAATTGGTCTGGGGAGAAGTTGAATAACTCACCAGTTGTTGAGCTTGAGACTGTCAGAACTTGACCAGTAGATATAATTTTTAGTTTTCTAGCTGCCGTTTTAGGATAGTTCTGCAATTTCTGGTTACACTGGGTCACAGCGGCACTCACAGACCAAATCAGGCAGAGCTTACCAGTCAAATTCTGCCAGGTCATACCAAGTTGATATTCTAAGCAATGCCGAGAAGCAAGGCACACGTAGAAGTTAGTCTATAGAGGAGACAGTGATGTGGCACACATCTCTCCTTTCCTTGCTGCCACATCATTGCTATTGTTGTAGCCTCAGTAATAGCTAGCTAGCTTGTTTCTTTTGCACTCTTGAACAATGCAATACATCATGAACAACCTGAACGAAGCTATCCCCCCAAATTTCAGGGGAGAAGAGTTCATAGACACCAGAGCAGAACTCACGATTGCGTTGATAGATGAAGAACAAGCAGCACAAATCCTATCCAACCTCTGGACGATCAACAATAATAAGGAGAAAGCGATCTGGACCCGCTGTTGAAGATGAGAACTGCTGTTAGAAAACCACACACAAAAACAAACTAACACACAATCCTCCCAGATTCCACGGAACTTGTTTATGGGCTTTGCCTCCTAGAACAGTGGAGTGGTCTGGTTGTTTGTGGGGTGGTACATATAAAGATCCTTCAAAGTAAAACCCAGAGGTGTATGAGTGTGGGTTTTGAGGAGGAGGGATAGTTGAATTTATAGAAAGATAGGGGCTTTGTGGCGAGTATAGACAAGCACTACCTTGCTAATTGTAGCACAAGGTAGGTTTGAGAATAACGAGAATGACGAGGTGACGAGGTTCCCAGTGATAGCAGGCTCCTGACGCACAAACTGTAGTGCTCAGAAGGACTCTAATCAAAAGGGATGACAATGACTTCTAAAGGGGGACGTGACAATGACAGCAATTAACAGTGGTAGCAGTGGAAAGTGTTGTGACCACACTGGATCACAAGCAGCAGAGTAGTGAACTTGAAAGTAGAGAAGAAGTCTGGAATTGAGTTCTTGTTATTTTACAAGGTAAAATACAGGGGTTTATATAGTAAAAGAAAAGTAGGCTATGCACAGTATAGCTGTGCAAAAAGAATGAGAAAGAACATGAAGGAAGGAATGTACGCTGACGAATCCTGCGTAGGTAGTACAGGATAAGATTGTCAAAAAAGGGAAAAGAAAGGGATAGAACAATGAATGCTGTGAGTAATGTCACAGGTTTGTACAGCCATAAAGTAAAGTCCAATAGCAAAAAGAGAGCAGGAAAATCATGATGTCATGGGAAGATGCAGTAAAAAAAGGGCAAGGCAAAACACTATCAGTATCAACACAGTTCTTTTATTGTCAGTCAGACATTCTAAAAAAAATATGTGTCAATAAAAATGATTCAAAAATCAAAAATAATTGCACTGTAAATGAATGTTCTGCTGAAAAAAAAGAAACTGGAGCCACCAGTCCACCACCTAGTCCAAATCCGACAGTTCCATAGCCTTACCAATGGACTGGTTGTGTTGGACCACCTGATCAAACGAGGGAGGGAGAGGAGTAGTTCCAATTTGGAACAAGTAAGTCCCAGGCAGCGTGTGGTAGGTGTAGCTGTAGCGAAGACGATGGACAAAAGATAAGTGTACCCAAGTGAATGGGACAGCAATGAACATGGGCGGCGCAAGGGGATGAACCTTCTCCAGCTCAAAAACTACCCACCCACGCTCCAACCAGGCAAGACGAGCAACCGATGTTTTGATAGTATATGATGGTAGATCGACGTCATAAAGATGGACCTGTTGCCCTATTTGAACCGGCCGTCAGGGCTTTGCTGATATCAGCAGTGGCACGTGGTGGTCGACAGATTGGCGACGGAAGCGGATAGGAAGTGGTGACATCAGAAATGGTGGGGGAGCAACAAAGATGAGGAGGAGGAGACTGGAGGTGACGAGGAGGTGAACTAAAATGGGGATCCAGAAACAACCATCGGGTGAGAATAAAAACGAGAGTAAGGGACCCATGGTGGGGCTAGGCAAAGGAAGGGAAGTGAAGGAAACAACAAAAATGAGGGCACAATGCAATGTGTAGCCAGTGGCGACACGAAAACTTGCCAAAATGCCGAAACACAGAAAGTACCGAATGGAAAGCAAAGGTGAGCGCGACTGGATTGCCTAATAGAGGTGGTGCTGATCAGCCACAAGTTCGAAAAAGGCAATTTTAATTACTATTCCACGTGGCACTGTGCCTGTGTGGCGCAAAGGCGAGTCTTTTTGAATATTTGCTTCGTTATTGACACCTGTCCATGCTACCAATCAACTTTGGTGCATGACACCGGAGGACAAACCTTCAACAACTGAGTTATTGAAGAATTCAATGAAGACTGTTCATGCCCTATCAAAGACCTCACATCCTCTTCTGAACGCAGTGAACACGATGCTCTATTCTCATACGCCATGCAAGATATTGCACTGCCTCGGCATACCTTGGGAAATCTCCAAGGACCAACCATTTGGCCCTACCACCATATACATCGGACTAGTATGTGACCTACAAAATCACACAGTATCACTGAGCCCAGAAAAAACTACCAAGTACCTAGCAGTAATACACGCTTGGAGAAAATGAGCCACCCATGTCCTACTTGATGTACAGAAATTACATGGTAAGCTATTACACGCATCTTCCGCACTGCCCATGGGAAAAGTGTACCTAACAGGCCTAAAGAGCATGTTAAGCACATGTTCTCAAAAGCCTACTATGCCCCACCATCCAGACAAGCAAGTAGCACAGGATTTGGACTGGTGGTCAGAAATGCTGCAGGCTGGGAAAGTATCTCACCCAATAACCCCACCTTCCCAGTTCATAGACCTCCAAGCCTTTTCAAACACAAGCTCAGAAATCGGAATCGCTATCACAATAGGCAATTATTGGAGAGCCTGGAGGCTCATTCCTGGCTGGAAAGAAACAGATGGAAAACGAGACATTGGCTGGGCCAAAGCCGTTGGATTTGAGCTACTTACTCGCACTCTTGCCACTAATGCTCAATCTAGCAACCGCATCATCATGATTGCATATGGCGATAACTCAGGCGTTGTCGAAGGTTGGCCAAACGGCAGGCATTGGAACCCACAGATCAACAATGTATTCAAACAAATACATGCATTCATCAAAAGCCTTTCCAGACATTTTGAGGTACACACAAAATATGTACAAAGTGCCAACAACCCAGCCGACAAACCATCCTGAGGCATATACGGGCCCAAGCACTTCCTACTCCCTCCTATCCCAATCCCTCATTCCATCCAACACTTCATCATCAACGCAACAGCACCCCTATCCTCCACAGAACTTAGACTTCTCCATAGCGGGAAGTACCCTCCTGCAGCAGAAAAACTCATTGACTGCATCAGAATCTGCCAAGAAGCAGATGAACGAGCCAAAGCCAACTCAAATAGAGAAGATTCAGCCATTACTAACGCGCTCAACCCCAGCAGATACAACTACAAAGTTTAATGCAACATTTTAAGACCAAACCAACTCATCAACTTCACTACCACAGCCATATCCCCCCAACCTCACCCCACAACGCTCTCATTTACAACCACACTGCCTAGCACAAGATTGGTTGCACTACTGGTTGCCCACAGGCTCCCCACCACGTTTGAACTCCACAGCAGTTCAACCAAACACAGCCTTCTCCTCAGAAGAGCAAATGGACCGGATACTGGAAGTCATAGGTGCTTTGTGGGCACAATCCACCAAACAAACTTATGGCGCTGAACTTTTAGTTTTCCATATATACTGCAACCTTCATAATATTCCGGAAGTACAAAGATGCCCCGTACTACCAACTCTCCTTCTATCTTTTTTATCTAGCTGTGCTGGATCGTATGCAGGATCTACCCTATCTAATTATGCAGTAGGACTAAGAGCCTGGCACCTACTCCATGGACACTCATGGAACATCAACAACATAGAACTCAAAGCCATGCTCAAAGGCGCAACACAACTAGCACCGCCCTCCTCCAAATGCCCTTGCAGACAGCCAATAACCCCTGCTCACATAATACTTATTAGAGCAAAACTAAACCTAGACGCCGCCATATATGCATGGTCGAATGAGGAGCTGCATATGCTACTTGGTTTAGCTC